ATGAACCGGTAGACGAGCAGACGGATCACCTGATGGTAAGCAATCGGCGTCGCCCATGGACACCTGGAAAACCAGAGGCGTTACAAGTGCGTTACCGGCCTTTTGGAGATTAGGAGTTTGAGGATCGTTGGGGATTCAGGAATTGCTCGCGTGTTTGACAATTTAAGGAAGGTTTATATGTATAATACATGTGTATTGCATCCGTGCGTAGGTTAGGTTAGGGTCGCCAGTAAAAATCGAACTATCTTGCCCAGCAGTCGCACTTGCGACCACTCGGTCAATCAGGTAGCATTTATAACTACTAAAATTATAAAACTGAAGAGTTAGTTTAAACTGTCAAACACCAAGCGGTCACCGGTGACCGCGACCTATTGTTCTTTAATTGTGTCTATAAAACCGGTACTCGACGAGTTAAACCTGGTAATCTGCTACATTAAGTGTCGTTATACTTTTTGTGTTGGACTGTCCATCTTATCGAGGAAAGCTATAGGCTATGACACATCACGCTACGACCAATAGAAGCAGAGCAGCAGATGAATCATGAAACCAGCCACCAGTATATTACAGTTTTGAGAAGCCACTATCCTAAGCCTTCAATATCAGAATCTGTTTTAAATATTAACAATATTCAGTTTAAAAATACAATAAATAATACTTTGTCTGATTTAGGGTCCGTCCTATTGCAATAGAAACAAGCCTAAAGCCAAAGACGGGCCAAATAATTTATTTTCGTACATTTAATCCCCTAAGAGGATGTTTCGGACTTACTAATACATACATAAGCATTTTTCAAACACCCACAATGTATACATACATCTTTATATCATATATATATACTTGTAAATATCAAAAACATTTGAACCATCGCGAATTGCACTTTAATTCCAACGACACAAAGTCGATTTTGTCACACATAACACAAGAATACACAAAAACAAGTTTTTGTTCGCAAAATTCTCTAAAAAAGTAGACTAGTTTTGAAAATAACGGCTTAAAATGTCAAAACTCGTTTCGATATACCAACTGACTTCGAAAAAATGAAAATGGCGACTCCAAAATATTTAATTATTAACCTTTTAAGTACCCACGTAAAACTACCCGCATTAAAATGGTTTTTTAATAAGTACCATTTACGACTATAAATACTTCGAGAAAAGCGAGGGTACTTGATTGGAAAATATTGAAGTACCACCATGTAGTCACGGTAATATTTTTATGATATTATTACCGTGTCGTAGTTGACTATAAAAATATTGTAGCACATAAACGTCAGGTAGGCTAGTTTGTCGATAAAAAAGTCGAGATCGATATAAGAACGTCTCTAATTCAACGTTGATGTTTAAAGGGATATTGTAACTTTATACTTGATTATTATTATTATCTGTATAATGTCATAATAGAGGTCGATAGAGGTGAGTTCAAAACACAAAAAAACTATTGCGAATTTAATAGGTATGATGACGGGGTATGAAAATTAAAAATCTAATTATTCCGTCTTAATACCAGGCGAGATAATCGAACGTAGGCCCATCAAATGTAAAAGAAGTATTTTTTCTAAATTTAACATTACGATAAATCCACGAGATTTGTTCATACATTAAAAGTAATCTCTAGACATCAGAAATAAGGTCTATTATGGAGTGAGCTCACGGATTTGTATTATAGTTGCCAGTTACAATGTCTCTTTTACACAATAATATTAGCTTAATAAGCATTTCTTAATATTAAATTCTTAAAAAAAAAACTATATATATAGCTAACATTTAAATTCAGAAGAACATCTAGAATTTTTTTCAAACTGACAACCATCACATATTTTTTAATAATAATGACGAAATTTCTTTTTTTTTTTCATTTTAGTATGATGATGTATAAGATTAGACTGTCTCATATTGATCGAATACTGCCAAGAAAGGTGGTTTCAGGCATGCTATCCAGGCCAGTTAAATGTGATGGAAGCTAAAGAAGTATGTATGTATTCAAGTATCATACCCCAAATTTGTTCATACAAAAGTAGTCTCTAAACATCGGAGATAAGGTCTATAATGTAGTTAATGGAGCGCTGTCACCGGTGACCGCTTGCAGATTAGAGAGTTAGTGTATAAAGTAGTTAAAGGATCAGATAATCTATCAATGACATTGTGAAAAGCATTTTTTTTAAATGTAATGTGGGAGTTTCTTTGTTGATGATAGGCGCTCGGTCCTAAATGCAGATTCGAATGGAGAAGAACGAGCAAGAAACCCCATACCCTTTTTTTTAAGGGGGGAAAATCATCGAATGACTTCTCCCGCCTGGGTGAGGCGGAAGGGAGTGTCAGACTCTTACTGACTAAAAACCACCCCGTTCCTTCTACTGCACGTCGAGCCGGAGCCCCGGTTACCCGTTAGATTCTCCGCGACTAACCCCATACCCTAACGGTAATATAAGTGTCACTCGATGCAAATATTATATTTTAATGAATACAATTATGACGGTGTAAGATATAATATTATTAATAAAGATAATTATATAGAGACCACAATGAGAGAGTTTATCACGATTTGCAAACAAAATTAATAGGGTCAATGTTATACAAAGCATAATAAAATAATCTGAAACCATATTTTTAATAAATTTTTTATCATTTCTTGTTATTCGCAAACCGGAAGAATTATTATTTCACTTATTTGATACCTAAATATGTCGCCTGAACAGTCCATGCTTCCATCAGTTGACTGGACCATCTCTACACTACATGAGTCACTGTTTACATGTTACCATTGGCTCATGATGATAACTAAGTGCATATCGCCTGGACATTCCACGCTACCATCAGTTGACTGGACATCTCTACACTACATGAGTCACTGTTTACATGTTACCATTGGCTCATGATGATACCTAAGTGCGTATCGCCTGGACATTCCACGCTACCATCAGTTGACTGGACCATCTCTACACTACATGAGTCACTGTTTACATGTTACCATTGGCTCATGATGATACCTAAGTGCGTATCGCCTGGACATTCCACGCTACCATCAGTTGACTGGACATCTCTACACTACATGAGTCACTGTTTACATGTTACCATTGGCTCGTGATGATATTTAAGTATGTATCGCCTGGACAGTCCCCGCTACCATCAGTTGACTGGACAATATCTACACTACATTTGTTTACATGTTACCATTAGCTCATGACATTGCTTCATACATATTATTCGAGTTTCCTGTCTTAGTATTTCAAAAAATATAAGAAACTAGCGGCCCGTCCCGGCTTCGCACGGGGGGACTTAAGATTTTTTACATAGTTTTACGTTTTATTTATATTTATTCTCAGTTTTTTTTTAGCGACCTGCCCTCCGTTGTCGATGTCGCGTCTTAAGGTAACCGATTGAACAATTCAAAAGTTATCTAGAGCAAACTTTTATAAGGATTGAACCATTCATTAAAACGATTGTTATGGGTAAACTATAAAAGGTAGACATATGCTCTCGCGGACTTTTTTAAAAATAATGTTAAGATAAACAATTCATCTATAGAACATTTTTGTATAACTTTAACTATATGCTCAGCGCACGCCACGGAAGGCCTCAGAAACGATACTTTTCCCCCGTTTTTAAAACATTTTTGGTTACTGCTCCACAACTATAGGACCTAGCGTGATATTATATAGCCTATGTTACTTCTGAATAATGCAGCTTTCGAATGGTGAAAAAATTATTGCAATCAGTTCAGTAGTTTTTGAGTTTATTCATTACAAACATACAAAAATACAAATCTTTCCTCTTTATAATATTAGTATAGAAGTATAGATGTATCTGATTAATCATTAAAAAGTTGTATTAAATAAAGCACATATTATTAGGCTATTTTGTTAATATGCTATTTAACTTTTTATTCAACGATTATGAAAAATCAACAACATTTTATACAAAAGCAGTCTCTAAACATTGGCAATAAGGTTTATTATGGAGTAAGAGCAGTCACCGGTCACTTGGGGCTTGGCAGTTAACCCATATCTTATAGTTACTATTATATGTATAAAACGGAAGAGTTTGTTTTTTTGCTTGTTTGAACATGCTAATCTCCGTAACTACAAGTCTGATTTGAATAATTCTTTTTGTGTTGGATAGCGCATTTATCGAGGATAGCTATAGGCTATAAAACATCACTCTACGACCAATAGGAGCTGAGCAGAACGTGTGAAACCGCGCGGAAGTAGCTAGTATCCCCATATCCCCAAGCGGTCACCAGTGACCGCTCTCCACTAACTACATTATAAACCTTATTTTCAATGTTTAGAGACTACTTTTGTATAAACAAATTTAGGGGATGATTTTCAACGGGTTTATGAATAAATGAATACTCCTTCAATAAAGTCCATGACCTGAACTTCAATTGTCTTCAATATGACTAGACAAACAAAGCAGTAGGTAATTTCATAATCCATCTACATTTACCAAATTTTATTACACAAAATGAATACAAAAGTAGTCTTTTAACATTGGAAATAAGGTCTAAAATAAAGAGAAAGGACATGGTGTCAATTTGGACCTTTTTGGTATTTAACCCGTATATCCCCAAGCGGTCACCGGACTGCTCTCCACTAACTACATTATAGACGGTCTAAAAGTAGTCTATTGTATGAACAAATTTAGGGGATGTTTTTTAACAATTATCAACGGGTTAAATCAAATTCAAAGTTGAATATACAAGCCAACTTCACTTAGATACTCACTATCTATCAAATCAAAAAGATACTATATTAGCACCAATTATATCTGTCCGATAAACTTATAAGAAACTAATTGTAATTGTATCAAAACACATTTAAGAAGAAAAATGACCAATTGGATACTGGGAGACAATTCACAATTACAGACGTATGCTGCCTATTAAAACATGATGGTTGCCAGATTAAAAAAATTATTTACAATACAAAATCATAGCAACACCGATAACATGTAGAAAACCATAGCCACCTGGGCTAAGTGAACTAAATCATAACGAACAGGTCATCTCGTCTGTTCCTTCGTTGCTGCGCACAACGCCTGTCCAACAAGGACTTTATCACCCGAAGCCATGTCAAATTTAAAGTCTTTCGGAGCTTCGAACAGTAAAATAATCGTACTCCCCATATTAAATTGTCCGAATAACTCACCCTTCTTCAACTGCACATGTCCTAAGTCAATCTCGCTGATCCTGTTTCGTTTGCCTTTCGTGTTTGTTCGTAATTCGGGATCATTGTATATCTCTATTGAGCCAACATTTGTAGCTCCGACAGCGGTCATGCTGAAGAAACCGTGCTTCCATTCTCCTACATAAACTGCTCGCTCGTTGATGGCAAATAAACCAGGTATGAGTCTCGCTAGCCATGGATTTACAGATAGAAGTTTGCCAGAGAAATGCCTTCGGAACGTAGCCGTCCAGTCGCATGGTGAGTGAAACCGATGGTAGTCTCCGGGAGCCAGATATATGATGCACTGGTGTAACACATTGTCTTTGTTATTTAATAAAGAGTTGTAATAATTATCATCTTTTCTTTTATTCCATTTATTTTCTCCAAGGAATTCTTCTAGGCTGTATGTGACTCCTTTGACTTGCTCTATTTTATCTGTGTCTGCTGGACCACAGTTTAAAACTACACCATCACAGGGCGAGACACAATGGCAAGGCGATATATACCTCGCACCTTCTTTGAGAGGTCTCGTAAAAAATTCGGATAAACTTTTGTAATACCTCAGATCAGTAAATTCAGCTTCATTCAAGTTCACATTAAACATTTTAATGTACGTACCGTAGACAAAACTTCGTAAAGACGTTGGGAGCTCACAAGCAGCCAGTTTCCCCCAAATTCTGCTCGTAACACGGAAAGGAAACATCTCGTAGAATAAAATTTCGACTTTTGACACTTCGTAATTGATGCTCGCACGAATATAACACCAACCGACGTAAATAGCACTTCCTAGAGGTACCCATCTCGTAATAATAGATCGGAAATTCATCCATTTATTGCGCTGAACTGTCTTTGTTTGGCTACCATGAACCGTAGCCGTCTGACGGAACGGCCTATGAGGACGCAGTTTCTGTCTAAACATTGGATTAATAACTGGAAGACAACTTCTTATTCGAGTCGGCGGAAACATTGCGACTGCTTAACGAACGCGGTGGCCGCTTAAAAATAAATTGTTTACGTAAAATCTATCCGATTGATTATTTTCCGGAGTGAACGATGTACTTGAAGTACGTACCTACAACGGATAAGAAAAATCAAATTAGATAAACAGTTGTGGTAAAAATTATGTAATAAGAAATTTTGTTTGATGGGATTGTAGCCCTTATGTAGTAGGAATTAACGATTAAAATAGAATAACATGAATTAGTATAACATAACCAATAAAACTGGAGGTATTGTAAGGACACGTTATGAAGTATTAACAACAGGACACATAGGACGAGATGTTTCTTAAATAAACTAATTTAAATATTACAATTTACATACCCCAAAGTAATAAAACTAATATTTAGGAGTAAGTAAGCTGCAGAACAATATTTTTTCTGTTATTATAAACTATTAAAATATTTTTAAATACCGTCCTTTGACGTTTGTTACAATAGTTACTCCAAATGTTGATTTCAGAACGCGCCTTCGAAAAGGATTCACAGATACACATAAATATTTTGTAATACCGGTTCCGGTTTTTCATTGGAAAAAATTTTTCGAAATAAAAGTAACGATGAATAATTAATTATCTTATGCTATTATAATAGAAAAGGAATTTGTTAATTTCTTAAAGGAAAAAGAATAAGAAAGGTTTTGATGAAATATTTTACAACAAAAATTAAAAATACCGGTTTTGACTTTTGTTTGCTTCAACAAAAAATTACGGCCCCCTCTAACCTCACCACTGAATGAATTTATTTCTCGTAGCATGACATATAGCGCTGTTGTTGACGTTTTTAGCAATATCCTTAGTTTTTTCTTTTTATTTTATTTTCCCGCGTCTATTTTGCCTTCTGATGTCCATAAGAAATGGAGATAATCAAGAAAAAGAGGAGAGTTACAGTGATATCGGAGAGGTGGTTGATAAAATTATCGTTTCTGACGGAGACAAAGATATCTCGTCACAAATCGCTTTCCGTGGCTTCGAGAAGTTACCCAGAGTCGTTGTGGCGCGCTACGATATAACTCCTTACCTACAAAAGGTAAATCTCGAAGAATCTGGCAAGAAACCTCGTTTGAAACGGAAGCTCAGGGGTCCAATCTCAAAACACCGGTTTTTGGACAAATGTTCGATACAACTAGTGAGAGAGGACCTCAATAAGCTAAAGGAAGAACTTGATAAGAGTCAGAACGTAGATTCAGGTTCTGACAGCGAACTAGACCCGACAATGTTGACTATGAAGTGTAAAATTTGTGATAAAGGATACTCAAATAAACGGAAGCTTTTGAAACACCAGGAAAATAAACACATGGTCATCTGTAAGCCACAAAAACGGGTTTCCTTTTCAGACAAAGTAACAATCCATGAAGTCAAAGAATACCATAAATGCAGGAAGTGTCCAAAGATCTTCGAAGCGTACCAGCTATTACGGTCACACATGAAACTGCATCACAAGAAGCGTAAATCCTATATCTGTAACTATTGCAGCAAAAACTTTGTTGACCGAACATTCTTCAAAGTCCATATCAGACTGCACTGCGATGTTTGCGGAGAATTTTTACCGAATAAACTGAGATATAATGATCATAGAAGGAACGTGTGCAGAGTTTTGAAACGACACACTTGTAAGATTTGTGACGATATTTACTTTAGATTCATGGATTTGAAAGATCATAGTTACGATCATTCCGCAATTAACTATGTGTGTGATGTCTGCAAGGATCAATGCACCAGTAAATGTGCACTAGCACATCATATTGCGTTCCTACACTCAAATGACAGACCTACCTGCCTATACGCTATGCGTAACTTGGGTAACGAGAGACTCTACTTATGTAACTTCTGCGAAGAAAGCTCCGTTGAACGAGATGCTTTAGAACTTCATGTACAATTGTTACCGGACTTAACAAATAAAGCTATGACAGGCTATAAAGACTATTACTTCTGTGACCAATGCTTTAAAAAGTTTGACACGGAATCAGATATGTTACAACATAAATGGACACATTTTCTAATCACGAGTGATAATTCACAAGAACGAAAAAAAGTTAAAAAAGATTTGAAAATGACATACAAGTGTGATGAACCGCTCCCACTCTTTTTGCAACCGAAACTAGTTTTGGAGAAGATTAAAGTTGGGGGTAAAGTTCTTAAGGACACCATTGCATTTGTTGATGTGAAAAAGTTTGATATTCATAATGGAAATATTAAGAAGGCCATCGTTGATCCGAAGAGCAAAAAGACTATTATTTCCAAGTATCAGTGTCAGGTTAGTATCATATAGTTTTTTATAAAATTTACCCGCCCTTAACCCCGTAGGGGTGAGCAAAGGAGCGTTACGGCATTCAATGTAACACCCACTTTTCACTATTTATGTTATGAGTCCCATGTATTAGAGGGTGAGTATTGCCATATACCAGGCAATATTCTAGACTCCATTCTACTACTGAGGTTAAAAAAAAAGTTGATAGTTTTTTTTTATAATTTAATTTAAATAACACTAGCTTCTCTCACTGGTTTCATCTGCTGCTCAACTCCTATTAGTCTTAGCGTCACGTTTTATAGCCTGTAGCCTTATATATAAATGAACCACCCAACTTAGGGTCCAAATTTCCAATGCTAGATAAATTATAGCTGAGGAATAACTTTGAATATTCGACATTTTGGAATGAGCACCTAGCTTCACTGATGGACAGACTGACAACTATTATTTATTTTGTACTAGCTTTTACCCGCGACTTCGCTCGCGTCACAAAAGGATAAAAAGTAGCCTATGTGACATATACCAATTCACACAGCGCCATTTATACCAATAATTTCGTTTTCCCTCGGGAATATCATTTTTTTCCGGGATAAAAAGTACCCTATTATTTAATCCAGACTTCTAACTTTACGTCTGCAAAAATTCAAAGCAATCGGTTTAGTAGTTACGGCGCGAAACTGGAACAAACAAACAAATGAACTTACTTTCCGATTTATAATATTAGTAAGGATAGTAAGGATTTGCTGACGTTTCAAAAGTAATACTTTTTAAAAGGCCGGCAACGCACCTGTGACTTCTCTGGTGTTGCGGGTGCCCATGGGCGGTGCTGATCGCTTACCATCAGGTGATCCGGCTGCTCGTTTGCCTAGTATTCCATAAAAAAAGTACCAAATTATGGTTTCATTGAAATAAATGCTTTGACTTTGACAATTCTTTTATACAAAAAATTGACTAATGTTAATTTTATTCTACACTAGCTACTTCCGCGCGGTTTCACACTCTATGCTCAGCTCTTATTGGTCGTAGCATGATGTTTTATAGCCTATAGCCATCCTCGATAAATGCGCTATCCAACACAAAAATAATTATTCAAATCAGACTTGTAGTTACGGAGATTACCGCGTTCAAACGAACAAACAAAAAAACAAACTCTTCCGGTTTATATAATAGTAGAGGTATAAGAATAAGATATAAGAAAAAGAAGAAGAAAAATGATCACTCAAATCTGACCAGTAGTTCCAGAGAATGGTGTGTTCAAACAAACAAAATCTTCAGCTTCGCATATTAGTATAGTTTAGTTTAATATTGGTCAATATTCTCATCTGTATTGTAAGATTAAGATGAGCCAACTTAGTGTACTATTGAGTCGCGGAGAACCTAATGGGTTTCCCGGGCTCCGGCTCGACGTGCAGTAGAAGGAACGGGGTGGTTTTTAGTCAGTAAGAGTCTGACACTCCCTCTCGCCTCATCCTGACCGGAGCAGTCATTCGATGATGTTCCCAACTTAAAAATGAATAATATTTCACCATTATTTTTACAGACCTGCTACAAATACTACTCATCAAACCGTAGTCTGAACCGTCACATTGAGACACAACACTCAAACTATGAAACACTGCAATGCAAAGTCTGCGAAGAAACCTTCGTCTGGCCATCACTGCTCCGTTCACACAAGTGTATACGTCTCAACCATCCAGAAATGCCATTCCAGGACGCTAGACCAGAAATCCATTTTGATAATCTACACGAAATCACTCAAAATGGATTCGATGACTTGAATATAGAAGAAAACGAAGATTACATGCAATCTGTGGACTTTGAAATTCCTGCACCAATTGTGGAGTTAACGGAATATGGTTCACTAAACCCGGTCGTTGAAAAGTTTGCTCCGTTGCAAAATCTTGGATACACACTTGTTATGCAAGAGGTGCCGATTGAATTTTAAATGTGTATATATAAAATAGTGCGTCTTGTGATCTGTTTGTCAAGACCCTGGACTAAGATAAGGTAAAGCATTTAATATTTTTCAATCAGTCGAATAGTCATTTTCCGTCCAATTTCAATAACCTATCTATCTTCCGATTTGCTTACTAGAGATAGAATTTTGACACTTTTTGTATGGAGCTTATGTCAAAATTCTATCTCTAGTAAGCAAATCTACAGATAGATAGGTTATTGAAACTGGCTGTTAGTCGTGCAAAGTTTTATTCTATCTGACAAGTTTAAAGTCATATTATAGATAACCAATAAGTTCGATTACTGCATTTTGTCTCTTTTACTTCAGTTTCAACCGAAATTTTTACAATTGTTTATTTTAATTGGACAAGCAAGGTTAACGGTACAATCAAAAACTATGTCTTGTCTATCAGCATTTTAGTAAAGTTATTTGTTTGTTGAGAAAAACTTGGAACTCGTTTTAATTAATCAATTCAAAAGTGCATGGTATTAAGTACAATTACAATTTTAAGTTGCAGCAATAATGCATACTGTTTTTATTCAATTTTTTTATTTAGTACACATTTTTTTTTTTTATTAAGTGCCAGCCTTAGGCAAGCACCTCCTTGGTGCCTTTAATTTTTTTGGCGCTGCCGACACTACGAGCGTGTGGCGCCCCTCTCTTTGCTTAAGGAATAAAGCTAATTATACACTAGGGCACAAATATCCTGCAAAG